ACAGGGTTTATACTGAGTTCAATATTGTATAACTGTATTAATTCAACTGTAAACCTAAAAATTTACAGCCAATTTTGGAAGAGAAGCATCTTAGCTCTGGAAATTGTTATTATTGAAAATGTTAAAGCTGTAATGAAATGCTTCTTCTAAAAAAAAATAGAACAGGCAAATATTTTAAATGATATGGTCCCTGATTAGTCAAAAGGCATAAAGTTTCAATTAAGTGGGAGGAATCAGTTCTGATGGCCTAGTGATTACACTAATAACCCAGTGACAATAGTTAATAATGTATGGTATTGCCTCAAAAGTATGAAAAGAGCAAACTCTAAGTGTTCTCATCCCCAAGAAATAAGTATGTGAGGGGCTAGATATGCTCATCCACCTGATTTAGTCATTCTATAACACACATGTGTAGCATAACATCACATCATACCCCACCAAATATACAGCTGTTATATGTCAGGGCCAAGAAAATGGCTCCATATATAAAAGCATTTACACCCAAGACTCATGACCTGAGTCCAGGTCACTAAACCCTATAGAAAAGCCAGACGTGGTAGTGCATGTCTATAATCCCACACTCCTACTACAAAATGAGAATTGGAGTCAGGAACATCCTGGGAAGCTAAGGATCAGCTATCCTGGAGGATTCAGCACAGCAACAAACAAGAAAGATCTTGCTTCAAACAAGGTGGAAGGCAAGAACTAACCAACATCCATGGTCGTTCTCTGACCTCCATGTGTGGGCCACAGCAAGTGCATGCCCTCACACACAAACACATACACAAACACACACAAAGATACATACCACACATACACAATAATAAATATTTTAAATAATAAATTATATGCTTTCATAAAAGGAGACACAACAGCTATTAAAGGGGATGATGTATTATAATGAGATTGAATTTCCAAAAATGGCTCAACTGTCCTCAGATCAACTTTGCCAACCCATGATCTAAGAGAAAAATGATGAATTCAATTCTACTTTAATAACATTTTTGAAATAACCTAGGACCATTCTGGATTTCCTTATCTTCCATTGGTGACAGG